ACAAAAACATTAAAAAAAAAAAAAAAAAAAAAAAAAAGGCCCAGACCGACAGCTCGTATCTCGAAAAACCCGTACGTCGGACCACTCGTATCTCAAGGCACCAACAGTACGAGACACCGACGAGTGAAGAGAATATTTTAACCTCCTCACCATCTCGGAGTAAAATGCACCCAAATGTCGCTACGGTGATGAAGACGGAGCAAATGCTGTCCAGACGGAGGGCAAACCAGCGGGAGGTCATCAGGAAGAGAAACCAGGCCTCTGAGATCAACGGCGACAACACTTGATCCAAAATACAGTCTGCGCGTGCTTGAAAACAGCGCACACGAGAGGGCGAGAGAGGAACCTGAGTGTCGGTCCTGGTGCGAGTCAAAGGCTTTGGTTAGTCTCTCCTCTCCTCCGAAGGCTCGGATGGTGCACAGACCCTGGAGGGACGACGAAAGATGGGAGAAGACGGGACTGCGTGCTGCGAGGGAAGGTGGCGAGCGTCACGGGTCGTGGCGTGAAGCGGCACGGTTTACCAAAGTGCTGGAAGGCCTTGACGTACCCGTGGACTCCAGACGTTTGATGTCGCGTGACGTGCAGAGGTAGTAACGGCGCAGGTACAGGAAGAGGAACAGCAGCGGGGCGACGGTGACCAGGAGGAGAGGGATGATGGAGGCGGCCACGGCCAAAACGCCCACGTTCTGCAAAAAAAGCTGCGACAGCCCAGTTTCTTCAGCAACCCGCTACCAAAGTATTCTTGAGCTCAGCCTAAGCCAGTGATTCCCAACCACTGTGCCGCTCGGATTGTCAGGTGTGCCGCAGGAAATGATCAGATTTCACTTTCTGGGTCTGAAAATGATAACATTTGACTTTGATACCGATCTATTGATGTCGGACGGATGTGACAGGCAGAACAAATTGAATGCCCGTCCACGAGATGGCAGCAAGCACGATCCACTTGCGTATCCGCGTTGCCCTTCATAAAAGCGAATAATAGCTTTGCAGCCAACTTGACAGGCCCACTTTGCACACATTTCACATTTGTGAGCAACTGATACACACGTTATTTTACATCGTATAGTAATATAAACGGGTTTTCGTTGTTTCATCATACAGTTGTACCTTGACGTAGGAATTGAACCACCATTTCTTGTTCGGTATTTGAAATAAAGAAAAATGGCACTTTACAGTGGACTGGGCCAGCTAGCGTTAAAAAAAAAAAAAAAAAAAAATTATATTGATGCCCATTACAAATCCATCAGAAAAAAACAACCCTTTTTTTACACCCCCCCCCAATATTTTCAAAAAATAAGTGTTTTTCGACGAAGAACCAAATTAAAAATATTCACCAAAACCTGTCAATCTGCAGGTGCTGAATTGTGAGTCTGCAGGAGTCCATTCTACTGTCAAATCGAAATACAAAAGCATAACAAAATGAAACATTGACAAATAAATTGGATTTGAAAAGTGCGGTTACGCCACAACACAGACACACGCACACACACAAAATAGTGTGTTGTGTGCCTGCAGAAGGGGGCGTGGCCCAATGAGTGGGCCCATGTGAATTTGAAACACAAGCCACAAATGTCTGCGCCATGCTCCTTGTACGTTTCCATTTAGTATTTGTGCATTGAAATGTCTGAAATTGCATTGCGAAGTACGCCTTTCCTTTTCTTCATTTCACAAAAGTGGCGGCAAATCTGAATGTCACTTATGATTCACATTTTGGCCTCCGAGCAAAAAAATTGGGCAAGGAATGCCCATTATATCGAAAACTCGTTAACTGGGACACTCATAAGCTGAGGTACCACTGTACTTTTTTTTTTTTTTTTTTGAGTTCGGTGGTGTCCTGTGAGCGTCCTAAAATGTCAAATTTATGCCTTGGCTCAAGACAGGTTGGGAAACACTGGTCTACCCCCGATGACTCCTCACTTGATAGAAGTCCACAAAGATGAGTGGTAACAGGGAGTCCATCTGGTTGATATCTTTGGAAAAGCGGTTGAGAATTCTTCCTAGCATGCGGGGAGAACAAGCAAACTTTTGGATCAGCCCAGAGCTGAAATAATGCCATAATCATCCCGAGTGACACCACCCCCCCGCCGTCTGGAAATGACATGAGCTGTCAACAGGCTACGTGTGATTCGATGCACCTCGACAGATGACGTTCCCGACAATTCAGAAAAGGCGTCGAGGTTTCACCTATGGGGTTGACGTCAAAGAAGAGCACTGGGGTGCGCAGGACGGCGTTGAACATGCGGTTGTGCAACGTCTGGGTGGATCGCACCAGCCCGTGAAAGATCACTAAGCTCCTGGCGTAGCCCAAGATCACGACGGCTGCTGTCAAACCTGAAGAAAAACGAAATTATTCATGGCATGATCATGATATGACTTGATATCCGAAACGTTTCTGAAGAAAATGAGAAAATATGAATTTGGGGACGGACCAGAATAAACGCCCAAATAAAATGGGAGACCGTTGTCTTGGAGTGAGCCGGTCTCGTTGGCGTTTTTCTCAACCGTCACCGCCGTGGTGGTGTTGTTATTGAGCTCATCTTTGGCCCTGTCCGGAACAAGATCAACACAAGGGATCCTATAAGATGAAGTTGTGTGATTGCGTGGAGACGACAGGCCGCTGACTCACCAGACCACCAGCCACCAGTCCTGCAGAATATACGCAACCTGGGAAGAATCACAAAGACCCGCAAGGAGTCCGGAGCATTAGCTAGGCAACTGTGGATGTCACAATCCGTTGTGAAATCTGGGCGTTCACCTGGCGCTACAACTGCCCACATAGTTTTATTTATTTCAAAACATTTTTTTCCCCAAATGTATTTCCAAAAAAAAAAAATATATATATATATATAGGGGTCATTTTCAAATAATTTGATCAATAATGATAAAAAAAATACATTCATAACATTAAAAAAACACAAAAAGGGCAAATGTCTCCCAAGCCGAAATAGACATGTTTGAAATCCAATTTTCAATAAGTTGTTCATCATGATAATTTTAGGTGATAGTAGAGCTAAGATGCATTTGCGTTCGTCTGAACCACGGGTGTCAAACTCATTTTTGTCGCGGGCCACATTGTAAGTTACATTTTCCCTCGGACGGTCGTAATGCCCGTGAAACCATGTAAAGTAGTAAAGAATAATAGTTTATTCAACTAAAGTTGAAGGTACTCTCATAAGGGGTTTGGTAACAAGAACATGCTTACAATATCTCTTTTATTTATTTCAGATGAGAATTAAAATTTTTGGTCGACATTTTAGAAAGCATCATGGAAGTTGACATGTTTGATCTGCTTTTGCGGGCCGCATAAAATGATGTGGCGGGCCAGATCTGGCCCCCGGGCCTAGAGTTTGACACTAACACTTGAACTAAACAGAAAAGTTATGTTAAGCAATAAGAGAAAAATGCTGTGATCTATCTCTCTCTCTCTCTCTCTCTCTCTCCCTCCCCCTCCCTCCCTCCCTCCAAAAATGGAATGAACATCTTCAGAAAACAAGGAAGTTGTAACTGACCTCAGCGGTGACACTGAGCAGCAGAATGGCCAATAAGGTCAGAGGGTGACAGTGGGCGGTAAAATACTTGACATAAATGTCCCTGCTGACATTTCCTTCGGCACGAGACTCCTCCTCAGCAGCGTGCGCACTCTCCACCTGTAAAACAAGTTGAATTCCAGATCAGCAAAGTAAACAAGACATCTCAAACGTGGATTAAAAAAAAAAAAAAATCTGCAAATAGGCGACTATGCAGAGGTTGACTTCATACGTAAAATGTGAAAATTCTGCTGCTTACGGGAAGCAAGTCAGGGCCGTTGCATTCTGGGGGCAGGAGGGCGCCGTGCGAGTAGACTGAGCTGTTGGAGTGATTGGTCCTCTTGCTACAGATGGACTCCTTGTCGCAGTTGTAAAATAAAAAATCTGCAAATAGGCGACGATGCAGAGGTTGACTGCATACGTAAAATGTGAAAATTCTGCTGCTTACGGGAAGCAGGTCAGGGCCGTTGCATTCTGGGGGCAGGAGGGCGCCGTGCGAGTAGACTGAGCTGTTGGAGTGATTGGTCCTCTTGCTACAGATGGACTCCTTGTCGCAGTTGGCTGCCAGATAGGGATGGTCCTGCTCCTCCTGGCTTTGGAGCAGGAAGCCCACATCAAGGCCAGAGCTCTGCAACTCCCTGTAGGTTCCCTGGGCCACGATACGACCCTTGAAGGAAGTCACAAATAAGCAAAAACGGTCAGGAGCAAAAAAAAAAACCTCCCTGCACAGTGATAAACAGCGGACCCCTGCAAACTTTGCATTCGGCACCTTTTAAAAAAAAAAAGTTTTTTTTAATGACTATGTTATGATTTTTTGTTTTGTCCATCCCTCTCCCCCATTTATCGTGGAAAACGCACATTGAATGTTTATCAGCGTTTTGGGGGGTTTAAAAACATCTATATTTTTTTGTCTTTTCCCAACTCTTTTCAGCGGATGTCTGCGTGAAAAAAAAAAAGTATTATTTTGATTTAACTACTAAGTGCAATATATTTAAATTAAATCAAGATTTCGTTTAATTACAGCAGTCCATGCGTGACTTGAGCATTTTTACCGCTCTGGCCATGCTGGGGCAACAGAAAGTATGAGCAGGTAGTACACCACACTAAACCAACCCCTACACACCAACCCCCTCCCTCCGCCCCCAAGCTTTGCGCTTGCACAAAAATCAGAATACGCAGGCGATTGCGCTCCACCGCAGTTATGCCGACCTCGACCAAATTAGAGCCCGTATGGTCTTTATTTTTGCTTGACGACGATTCCGCTCCAACATCCCCAGCTCAACTTTCTATGGAAATGGAGCATGCATTTTGCATCCCGACTCGTGAGGGTCAAATTTGCGACACCAACCTCCTTGACCACCACAATCCGATCGACACTCCACCACAGTTATGCCGCCCTCGACGAAATTAGAACCCGTAATGTCTTTACTTTTGCTTGACGACGATTCCGCTCCAACATCCCCAGCTCAACTTTCTATGGAAATGGAGCATGCATTTTGCATCCCGACTCGTGAGGGTCAAATTTGCGACACCAACCTCCTTGACCACCACAATCCGATCGACCGAGCACAGATTCTGAAGTTGGTGAGTAACCAGGATACGACACTTGTTCTTCAGCAGGCCGCAGATGCACCTGATTGACCAAAAAAAAAAAAAAAACTCACACTTTGGGGCGAGAACAGAGCTGGCTCAGACAACATTCAAACATGCTCCTCCCTCTTCACGGAATAACTTATAAAAGGATCTCAACTGAGTATTACCCTGGGAGAATTCAAGTCCGACTGTAAAGGAACATTGAACAAATGCTATTGGACAATCTGGCTGTTTCTAAGTTTGGCACAGATTTGTTGATGAATTATTTTGTCCTAATAAATGGTTGTGCTTTTGTATCGACATTGTGTAGATTGTGCAGATTGTGTACGACTGTTGTTTGGTTTTAGTGTCGAGGAAATTTGACATTAATTGATCAAAAAACAGTCACTCACACTTTGGGGTGAGGACAGAGCTGGGTCAGACAACATTGAAACATGCTCCTCCCTCTTCATGGAATAACTTACAAAAGGGCATTACTTGGAGCGATTTCAAGTCCAATTGTGAAGGAACATTGAACAAATGCTACTGGACAAGGTGACTGCTTCTAAATTTGGCACCAATTTGTTCATGAATTATTTTGTCCTAATAAATGGTTGTGCTTTTGTATCGACATTGTGTAGAATGTGCAGATTGTGTCCGACTGTTGTTTGGTTTTAGTGTTGAGGAAATTTGACATTTAACAGTGCTAACTTGGATCACACATCCGGCTATCTCCAAGTGTTGCTGTGCAAGTTTGGTCCTCTGCAAGGTTTCTCCATCAATTGTAGCTGAAATAAATCTCATCGTTGTCCCCAAACTTAGTTTGTCTCGGTTTCCCTGGACAAGACCTTAGTCATGAATTTTGTGGTAAGTATGTCTTTGGTCGCCTCTTGGCCAGTTCAGACTTGGAAAAGTGAGTTTTAATGGAACTGAGTTTTTTTTTTTTAATTTATGTGCAGATTGTGTCCGACTGTTGTTTGGTTTTAGTGTTGAGGAAATTTGACATTTAACAGTGTTAACTTGGATCACACATCCTGCTATGTCCAAGTGTTGCTGCGCATGTTTGGTCCTCTGCAAGGTTTCTCCATCAATTGTAGCTGAAATAAATCTCATCGTTGTCCCCAAACTTAGTTTGTCTCGGTTTCCCTGGACAAGACCTTAGTCATGAATTTTGGGGTAACTATGTCTCTGGTCGCCTCTTGGCCAGTTCAGACTTGGAAAAGAGAGTTTTAATGGAACTGAGTTTTTTTTTTTTAATTTGCTTAAAATTAGGACATCATCATGAATAAAAACATTTGAACAGGAGTGACAAAGGTCTTTGAAAGACACATTCAAATTAAGATTTTCAAGGACAGCGGTTACGAAAGTGGACATCTGAGCAGGTTAGCAGGTTATAGGGTGCATGAAAGGGTTAAGAAGAGACAAGAATGGCCTACACAGTAGCCAGCCGCTCGATTGCAGTGACCCTTTTGCACCTTCGCAAGATCGCCGATTTCCCTAAATTGTCCTCAGATTCTGGCGTGACACAAAATGTACACCGACGCAGCGACTGACAACTCACGCTTCAAAGAGATACTTCCCCACTTCGACATCCACAGCACTCAGAGGATCATCTAAGAGGTAGATATCTGCTTCCTCGTAGACCGCTCTGAGAATGCATTCACACACACACACACACACACACACACACACACACACACACACACACACACACACACGATCATTCTCGCCCAGCATGTTTCAGAAAGCAAACGCACGCAGGCATCATTTTCCTACCTGGCGAGGTTGATGCGAGCTTTCTGCCCGCCGCTGAGGGTGCCTCCCTTGTCCCCGATGAGGGTCAGGTCTCCATCGGGGAGGAGCTCCAGGTCCTGCACTCCAAGACAATCAACACAACACAAGCTGCAGCGTAAGACGATGATGATGTTTCAAACAAACGGAAACAAAAAACTTATTCAAAAGGGAAAAACCCTGCCCCCAAGCTAGTCCTTATTGACACAAATATTCGATTGACAGTTAAAGAATTAAGGCGTGACAGCAAATTACATCCATTTTTTTTTTTTTTTTTACGCCAATGTAGCTTGTATTAAGACGGCTTTAATTACAGATGAGGCCCGGTTCATTTAATTCCATTCAAGCCTTTTAAAATGGAACCAAACCGAACTGAATTAACTTTAGCAGTACAAAAAAAAAAAAAAAAAAAAAAAAAAATGGGGGAGGTCAGGACACTCGTTATGCTGCTTTTACAATGAAAGGGAGAATTTGCAATTTCCAAAACTTATCACTTTTTGTCACATGTGGTAAAACTGTGTCTGACCTGACAGCAGTCGCAGTTAAAATATTATTATTTTTTTTAAATCACCGCAGTCCATTTCCAATACCAACTCACCTTTTTTAGGGCACAGGCCTTCAGTACACGCTGATACTTTTGGGGATCCAGCCCTCTCCCAAACAGGATGTTACTGCGGATGGTCCCAGGGAACACCCAGGGTTGCTGCGATACGTAGTTGAGTTGACCTCTGACCGCCATCGTTCCGGCGTCGTGAGACAGCTCGCCCAGGATGGCGCTCAGCAGGGACGACTGGCGGAAAGGGGGGTCGTTCCAGGTGATGAATGAAGACGAAACCGCTAGATATATTTCTACTTTTTACAACAAATGCCACGTCAAAAAAATACATGGCAATTTAAGCGCCACCATAATGGTACTTCCATCAATCCATCCATTTTCCGATTTGCTTTATCCTCACAAGGGTCGCGGGGGTTGCTGGAGCCTATCCCAGCCATCTTCGGGGAGTCGGCGGGGGACACCCTGAACCGGTTGCCAGCCAATCGCAGGGCACACAGAGACAAACAACCATCCATGCTCACGCTCACACCAAGGGACAATTTTGGGTGTTCAATCCGCCTTCCATGCATGTTTTTGGAATGTGGGAGTACCCGGAGAAAATCCACGCATGCCTGGGGAGAACATGCAAACTCCACACAGGGAGGCCGGAGCTGTAATCGAACGCGGTACCTCTGTACTGTGAGGTCGACGTACTAACCGCTGGACCACCAGTACTTAAATGAGTTAAATTACAACAGGCCAAAGTATTCAGTAAAAAGATTTTCTTTCTAAAAAGTCTATTTAATTCTCAACTCTACTGGCTTTTATAAAGCACTTCAAAACAACCACCGCTGTGTACAAAGTGCTGTACATGGAGCTAAGCCACTGTAATATCAATTAAATACATCTGAATGTTTTCGAGGAGGCGGGGGGGGGGGGATCCATTGGTTTGTACTTAAATGCTCCAGGTTTTGTTGTGAGATGGAATTTGTTTTCATGCATCCACCGCGAAGAGCTTCGCAATATACAACAGCCCCACTAGAGGGAGCCAGAGTAGCACACTTTGAGGTTGACTGAAGGAGATCTGCCATCATCTCACCTTGCCGGCCCCCACGGGTCCGATTACAGCCACCAGTTGATGTGACTCCACTGTGAGAGAGATGTTCTGCAGAGACGGTGAATCCAGAAGCTGAAAAGAAGAAGATACAGCCGCGATTTAAAAATGTGCCTGCATTCATCATGGGTGGGACGAGTACAACGTATTGTACATCTTCAATGTTCTTTTTTTTTTTTTAAACAACAATTGTGAGCACAAGTTTGAATTCAATTGTTTTTTTTTCTACCACACAGGCTCAAAAGTATGCATGCAAATGACTAAAGCGCTTGTCTGATTTGTGATTCGATGCGGGTCTTGGAGTTATCATGTGATGTGAATCTGCAGTTTTCACTTCTGACTCTTGTACAGAATGATTAAGTCTGAAGTGGGGGGGCTATCGGTGCCTATGTTATGAGAATGCCTTTTTTTTCCCCCTTGATAAACTCAAGAATGAGTAACAACACTGCCAACAGGAAGGCCCAAGGAATTCAGTCAACATCTAAAACGGAGAATTGCAGATTGGGACATACAATACAATACAATACAATACAATACAATACAATACAATACATGCTGATTTATATAGCGCTTTCACAACAGCGGCAGCTGTAACAAAGCGCTTAACAAAACAGTTAACATACAAATTGGGCAAGTTGTCTTTCTGTAGTGGCCTTTCCAAAGCCCGAACCTCAACCCTCTAGAACATTTGTCTTGCATGTTTTCAAGGTTCTGTGCAGGAAATCAAAAAGATATTGAATGAACGGAACCAATTCATGCCAAGAGAAGTGGTCAAATGCGGGACATGCTTGCCGGTGGCTAAAAAAATTTAAAGCAAAATGAAAGTTGCGAACAGGACATAAGTGTTGATACGTGTATATATTTGAAAAATGATTGATTAACTCGGTAAACGATTAGTTGTCGATTAATCGCTGCGCCTCGAAATATCACTCTAGCTTACTGAGTAGCCGAGGAGTCTTACTGCCCCCTAGTGGTCAAGCCACGCACATTAGAAGGAGCGGCGCAATATCCATTGAAGCAAAAATTGCGGTTGACAATTTTTTGACATTTTATTTGATTCAGCCATGCCTGGATGTTTTGAGGAAGGTCCTCTTTTCTCTCACTGGTACCCCCTTTTTGTGTTTGGCATCATTAAAAAGGCTGGGAAAAGGCATTGTGGAGTTTATCCTTGAAAGACTGGATGTTTTGAGGAAGGTCCCCTTTTCTCTCACTGGTACCCCCTTTTGTGTTTGGCATCACTAAAAATGCTGGGAAAAGGCATTGTGGAGTTTATCCTTGAAAGCTCAAGGATTTGAAGTCTCCTGATAAAATGCCTTCACGCATGATGGCAGTTCAACTTGTAGATTTGAGCGCACTCGTGTATTTGTCCAGAGTATTATTCATGAATTTCAAATGGTTGGGGGTTCAGCCTCAAGGGGGCGCACTGTCCACGGAGTCGAATGGTCACCTTATCCCAGTAGCACGTCAAACTCGTCATCTCGATGGTGTTTGGGTTCTTTTCCTCCAGCGTCAGCTTTCTTCTATTCATTTCATCCAGCAGGAGAAAGTTCTAGCAGGGGTTGCATGAAGAAGAATGAGCAGAAATTCCCCTTTGCGCGCGCTAAAATAAGTTTGTCAGCATATGTAAAATACACCAGCGGCACTTCTTATACCTTTTACACCACATTAAAAAAAAATACTTGAACACAAACAGCACTAAAAGAGTAACTGCAACAAAATTGCTCTTAAAAATTAAATACAATGGACTTGGAGTTCACAAAAAGCATTGCACTGGATTCAAAATTAAATTTAATCCACCATCACTGCCCAAATTTTCTCTGCTTTTTTTTTTTCTTTTTCATTATCAGGCATCGTCGACATCAGGCGTGCCCTTTGCGTCCAACGGGAGCTATCGAGCGATCACGAAGGGAGTGTCGGTAGCGCTCATGAATATGAATTCAATCACTTCCTGTCCTCCCAGTTTTATGCTAGTAGTATCATATACTGTCCCGACCTATCAATGGCAGTGAATGAGTTAAAAAAAAAAAAAGGAGACTCCCACCGATCATCTATTGTGAGGAGACAGGCTTTCCGGTGAGTCTCACTGGTTGATCCGCCCCGGTGGCGTTTGCTAACTCGGCGGAAGGAGCAAAAGTATGGAGCGGCATTTCGGGCCATTGATAAAAACATGAAGTCCGAGTAGAGTTCCAACATGGCTGATATTCATCGGGAAGCGTGCACACGACTTGGCGATCGGCGACTCGATCCCGAGCAGATTCCATTCAGCGCAAGTCAGGCGTGCCCTTTGCGTCCAACGGGAGCTATCGAGCGATCACGAAGGGAGTGTCGGGAGCGCTCATGAATATTAATTCAATCACTTCCTGTCCTCTCAGTTTTATGCTAGTAGTATCATATACTGTCTCGACCTATCAATGGCAGTGAATGAGTTCAAAAAAAAAAAAGTACTCCCACCGATCATCGATTGTGAGGAGACAGGCTTTCCGGTGAGTCTCACTGGTTGATCCGCCCCGGGAGCGTTTGCTAACTCGGAGCAAAGTATCGAGCAGCATTTCGGGCCATTGATAAAAACATGAAGTCTGAGTAGAGTTCCAACATGGCTGATATTCATTGGCAAGCGTGCACATGACTTGGCGATCGGCGACTCGATCCCGAGCAGATTCTGGCGTTTGCTAACTCGGCGGAAGGAGCAAAAGTATGGAGCGGCATTTCGGGCCATTGATAAAAACATGAAGTCCGAGTAGAGTTCCAACATGGCTGATATTCATCGGGAAGCGTGCACACGACTTGGCGATCGGCGACTCGATCCCGAGCAGATTCCATTCAGCGCAAGTCATCAGAGTCAAGAATGTTGGCGAGGAAAGGTCAGAAATGCGTTACCTTGATCCTACGGACACTGACGATGGTCTCGGAGAGTTTTTCGACGGCCAGCGGGAAGAACAGCGTGACGGTGATCTTGATGGTTCCGTACAGGGACACGGTGACGAACACTCGGCTGGCGCTGACGTCGTTGCCCAGCACGGCGTACAACGCGAAGGTGACAAACACCACAATCTTACTGCTGGCGAAGAACGTCGCCATGTTGAGTCCTCGCAGGTAGGAGCTCTTCATGATCTGGTCGATTTCCTTTCTGAAGAGACAAGAACAAACGCAGTCATTGAAAGCCGCCTCATGGTGGTCTTGGCACCGGCAGATGAACCGATAGCAGTCAGATGAAGCAAGTGGTGCCAGTCCGCGGTAAGGTTTATTTCATTTTGTGCCAAGAGTTGAAGTCCAAGGCGCAATCCCACGACGGGCGGGGAAGAAATAACTCGGCCATGTCGGAGCTCGCATCCGTCATTGATCAGGGGCAGGAATTTAAAATCAAGATCAGGTGAAACTTTTTCCAAATCCCCGCTCAAGTCTGAACATTGGCTTACGAAGGCACCCACCGCCAGAACAATAGGAGTACAAAGCACACAGCCGAGAAGATTACGACCGGCTAACGCGGGAAAAATTCACATGCATAATCTGATGGAATCCGTTCATGCATCAAAGCGGTTGAGATTCCGAGAATCGGACAAATAATTTATTTATTTTTGGTCACGTTCATGAATCTGGCAAAAAAAAAAAACAAAAAAAAAAAACGCCGTGGAAGCTCTCCAACACTCCAAGTACGCAAGTGAATTCATTTTGCAGAAACAAGAAATCATCAGCAACATCAAACCCAAATAAAAGGCGATCGGGTACATCTCCCGAATCGACGGGGTGCGATTCAATTCCGGGATGCGCCCCCCCCCACGATCCTTGCGAGGATAAAGCGGATCGGAAAACGGATGGGTGTCGCTTGTGTTTCTCCCGCTCTAAGTGGCAACAAACAATCAGTCGGTAAAAGAACTCAGGTTCACTGCTCCCACCAACATGATACAAAAGACTGAGATGACACTAACAGACCTTGTGACACGTGGCACAACACCCACTCAGCTTTTTAAACCTGCTACGGTGAAACACGGACAAGGTAAGACGTGCACGGCGGCTGATAAGAGGCCTTGCGTTCAAGGTCTCGCTTGTGAACTCGGCTTGGGATCGAACCAGCGTCCTCGAGATAAGGATGACGCTAAGTACTGGTTCAACCCTGAATGGATTTCTTTTTTTCATTAAAAAAAAAAAATCCTTTGGAGTATATTTTGCAGTCCAACCCCAAACGCATCAAATTTTTGTCATTTGTTTTGAGTTCGCGTCAGTGGTAATCAATTACTTTTCCGCTACAGCGGTATCGACGCGCCAACCGCTTCCAAATATTCTGAAGAGGTCCGTTTCAGTTACCTTCTGGACTCTGTGACGAGAGCTGAGAAGGGGATTTCCCAAGCGTACATCTTGATGATTCGGATGCCAGACACCACTTCGTTCATGATGCGGATCCGACTGTCGGCTCGGACCGCTGATTTGGTCCTGCGCGAATAAATAAATCCATACATACATTTTAAAAAGCATTTTTGGGAGGAGACATTTTGCAGTAATTTCAAGAGGTGAGTAAACAACAAACATTTGAACACAAATGGTGCAGCAACACACGTAGAGAGATCATTTAAGAATACTCTGAGGCATATATTGGTGAAAATTACAAACATTATGGCAGCTTCCAGTGTCAGTTGTAAAACTCTTCCTTGTGTGTGTGTTTGTCATTTCTTTCTGTATTATACTGCCCCAGACACACACACATGCACGGGGATCAGCAGCACAATTGGAATAAAGTACAAATTTTGACCAAAATGTTACATTATACGAATTCGATTAAAATAGGTTATGTTCTGACACACACACACACACACACACACACACACACACACACACACACACATTATAATATCATATATATATTTTTTTTAATATTCATTCATCAAATTCACATTCAATCACCAAAAAAATGACCCCCCCTCACCTGAAGATTCCAAAAAGTTTTCCAAACCATGTCTGCATGGGCAACATGAGGAGGAGAACAGCCACGCCTGCCAGACACGAGGGACCAATCTCGTACCAGAGAAAAGCGATGACCACAACCGCCTGCAAGGGTCCCACCCACAGGTAGTGCAGATTGAGGGTAATCTGCACAAAAACCAACAAGCATGCAATGAAACTGCATTTGCTTGTTGGCTGGAACACCAGCTTCACACTTCCCAGGAGCATTTCGAACATGGCGCTGCGGTGCAACGGGATAGCACAACACACACATGATAGGCAAAAACTACACACGACCAAATAAATTCAACATGAACAATATTTTAAAATATATATTTTTTTTAAGCAGGGTGGCATGGTGTTCGACTGGTTATCATGTCCGCCTCACAGTGCAGAGGTCATGGGTTCGATTCCGGGCTGCGGCCTTCCTGTGTGGTGTTTGCATGCTCTCTCCGTGCTTAGGTGGGTTTTCTCCGGGTACTCCGGTTTCCCCCAAGGCAGGCACGGCAGGTTTTCATCCGCCTCACAGTGCAGAGGTTACGGGTTCGATTCCGGGCTCCGGCCTGCCTGTGTGGTGTTTGCATGTTCTCTCCGTGCTTAGGTGGGTTTTCTCCGGGTACTCCGGTTTCCCCCAAGGCAGGCACGGCAGGTTTTTGGAAAACTCCAAATTGTCCTTTGATGTGATGGAGATTGCGAATGGTTGTTTGTCAATGTGTGACCTGCGATTATTGGTACCCAGTTCGGCCACCTGCCCGCCGTCAAAACAAAAGGATTCCCTCACGTCTTCCTGTTCTGTGGGCACACATCCCACGAGCGTCACCAGTTCCTGTTCCGGTGGCGCACTTCCTACGGAAAACTCCAAATTGTCCTTTGACGTGATGGAGATTGCGAATGGTTGTTTGTCAATGCGATTATTGGTACCCAGTTCGGCCACCTGCCCGGCGTCAAAACAAAAGTATTCCCTTACGTCTTCCTGTTCTGTGGGCACACATCCCACAAGCGTCACCAGTTCCTGTTCCGGTGGCACACTTCCTGTGGTTGCCACCCCTTCCTGTTCCAGTGGCACATGACCTGCAGCGGCCACCTGACCCTGCTTTGGCGGCGCAAGCCCCAGCGGCCGCTACACGATCCTGCTCTGCTCTGGTGGCGCAAACACTGCAGCCGCTCTCCGCTCAAGTGTGGCCTCCCGAATGGCTATTTAAAGACCTGCGTGCTTGGCGTTCGGGCCGCCTGCCGGCCTTGCCCTCCCTTTTCATGTCTCCCCCCTGAACCTGGTCTCCTCTAGCCCCCCTCTGGCCCCCCTTTCTGAACGACCCCGAGGAATGTTCCTGGATCTCAAGGTCCCTCATCCTTGACGCTTTCCTCTTGGGGGCTTCTACCGGGACTTACCTCACATGCTATCGTTGTGACCGGTTGTGACTGTGTTTTGAGTTGGGTCCTTGATGTTGTCAATTCCCACGGTCCTTTAATCTCTCACCTTTATTTTGTTATACAGAGGCACCTCTACTTCCAAACGTCTCTTCATACGAAATGTTCAAGTTACGAAACGCCTCGACAGAAAAATGTTGCCTCTTGTCTGGTCCTCACGTCACAATCGCCTCAGCACTGTGACGCGGATGGACAAACTATACTCGTTCATCACGTTGCCGAAAGGAGTCACGCATGTGAATTCCCTTCAGCGATCCAGTCAAGAGTTTACACACAAGGCCCGCTTCAAACGACCAGAAAGCCCGAAGGAAAAAAAACGGTTCTTGAAATGTTGCAGCACACCTGACCTCATCGAAACGGGTGATGTCATTTGAAAGGAGGTTTACGATTTGGCCCGTGGTCGTTTGTCCCATCGCTTGGCTGCTGAGACGAAGAGCCTGAAGAGAGTCACAGAGACATCAAATCAGCGTTGGGAAGTAAGAACAAATACTTTGCTACGATACAAGTAGATTTTTTTGGTCAGGTGTATGGAAAAATATTTGAGTGTTCGTTTTTCAGTCTTTACTTAAGTCTGGAAACGGGGATCTGACGTGACATGACAGAAATAGACGTAAAGAGGTTATGCTAACCGCGTTTGGGATCTGGATTCATTCTTCAAAATCTCGAGGATTTATTTGGGGAAAAAAAAAGCAGGCATAATTGAGACATGGCGGAACGCGATCCGGAGATCAAATTTTTGAGTTACTCGCTAATTTAGCACTTTTTGCTGGTCAGTTCACAACAGATACAATATACATTTCATTATTGGGTGAATCAAAGTTTTAAAAATTGGGAAACTATTTTGTTACGTTTTTTTTCTTTGTGCTAAATTATGTGCAGCCCGGCAGTTAGCGCGTCGACCTCACAGCGCAGAGGTCATGGGTTCGATCCCGGATCCGGCCTGCCAGTGTGGAGTTTGCATGTTCTCCTCGGGCCTGCGTGGGTTTTCTCCGGGTATGCCGGTATCCTCCCACATCCCCAAAACACGAATGGTAGGCTGATTGAAAACGCAAAATTGTCCCTCGGTGTGAGTGTGAGCGCGGATCGTCTCTGCGTGCCCTGCGATTGGCTGGCAACCGGTTCAGGGTGTCCCCCGCTCCAGCACCCCCGTGTCGCTTGTGAGGATATTAAGTAAATTTCAGTCGAAACTTTTTACTTATACTTGATTACATAAATTGAATCAGTAGTTCAGTTTTTTTTTTCTTTAAGTATCGTTACTTCTCAGGTACAATGTGAGTGCATTTCATCATATTGTAGCAAATGGTGTACGATCATGGAAGAAATAACAAAAATAAATAAATAAAAAATATCCGCATCCTCTTCACTGACCTTGCAGTATATTACACGACACAAGGCCACTCTCATCCTCATGCCCGTTCTTTGGACAAAATAGTAGTGGAGATGCTGGAAGATGGTCAAGCCGAAGGTGGAGACGCACATGGCGGCAGCGCAGCCGTACGCCATGCAAAGACTGCTCTGGTCAGCGCTGTCAGCATTCTCAAAGAACATGATTATTCTCCCGAGAAGAAGTGGCTGGATGACTTTTACGGCCTCCTATGAGAGGAAAAACACTCGCTCAATAGTCAAAAAGGAAACAAACGCATTTGGGTCGGACATCTTGGACAACAGCAGTCCAGAAAGTGACATCAGCAGGATGCCATTATGTCATGGACCTCGCTGCTCACTGGACCGGAAGCGGCAAATCTGTGCCTGCTCTGCCAATTTAAATTTGAGATTATCGGACAGGCCTGCTGAAACAGACTCCTGCTGATACCCCGGACGGCTTGGAATTCAAAGCGCCGATGAGGGGGACTTTTTTTTTTTTTTTTCCCTTACTTTGTAGCTGTTTGGACTTGGGCTTGTCCGTCGCCACTGCAAGTCACCCGCATGATTTGTTTAGCACAGTTTTTATGCAACCATTTTTTTTTTTTTTAAATCCACGTTTGGTAGCGGCAGTAGCTGGATATTGGGACACTGGCCGGGAATCAAATCCTCTTTTTATGTTGTATTTGTGATGTTTTAACTGCACAGCATTTTGAGTTGTATTTTTCTGTATGAAAAGTGCTATGCAAATAAAGTTTGAATGGAAAAAAAAAAAAAAAAAAGAAGAAAAATTGCACTTGTGTGTTGATGAGTTTTCCCCTTGAGTCCATTTTAAGTGTGGAACGTCCCTGGGAGTGCTCACAATAGGGTGTTCTTTCTTGTCGCCCGGCACGGCTGATGGACAATTGCTTGTTTACTGGCCCGCTGGCAAAACAAGGCCCCTCTTCACGTGGAGTTAGGGCTGTTTCTCATTTTTCCCCTCATTTTTTTTTTTTTTTTACCTACTGGGGGTCTCTTTATTGTCACATAAGCGTGGAATCCAATTTCTAGTCATTTCAACATCAATAAAAAAAAAAAAGGGAGTTTCAGTGCATACCAAGGAAAACGCAAAGATTCCCGCGACGGCGAAAGACTTCCCATAGCACTTAATAAGGACTTTGGTCAGTGTGGGCTTCCGTAGTTGTTTGGTTGCCCTTTTAACTTCAAGTTCCCAGCACCTGCAAGATGTGGAAAAAAAAAGTGGTTTTTGCACAGGCACGAATTACAGTGAAACATCAAAAGCGGAGTCGAGTCCCAGACAGGGTTGCAACATTGTGGACAGTTTGAATCAATTAGGAAGTTACAAAAGGGAAGGTTGGCTCTTTCTAGGCAACTCAAATAGAGGTGGGGGAAGTCTTGCTTAGCATAATTTCTGACAACAACAACCAGATACTTTGATTTACCGAACGAGTGACACGTAAAAGCCTTGCGTTTGGCTAAAAAAAGCACATTTGTGGGTAAAGATGAGATGACTGTATCAGTATGCAGTGGTACCTGATTTTCTGGGAATTGGATCACTTGAATAACAAATATACAAGTGAACACAAACAGAATAAATGCTTGAGGTACCTAAATTGTAGAGATGGACTTATTTTCACTAACTTTGCCACAGGCTGTCTTTGTATTGTTGTTATGGAGACAAGTCAACAGTTTCAGGGGCAAAATAGAATGAAGCGGCTTACTGGACATTGATTGCAAGTAATAAAGACAGCAAAGTTATTCATTCATTTAAATTCCATCCATCCATCCATTATCTAATCCGCTTATCCTCACAAGGTTTGCGGGGCGTGCCGGAGCCTATCCCGGGTGCCTTCGGGCAGTGGGCGGGGTACATCTTGAACCGGTTGCCAGCCCATCGCAGGGCACACAGGGACAAGGAACCAGTCGCGCTCACACCCAGGGCCAATTTAGAGTGTTCCATTAGCCTGCCATGTATGTTTTTGGAATGTGGGAGGAAACCGAAGTACCCGGAGAAAACCCGCACAGGCACGGCGAGAACACGTAAACTGCACACAGGAAGGCCGGGGCTGAGAATCGAACCCACGACCTCTGCCCTGTGAGGCGGATGTGCTCACCAGTTGATCACCGTGCCGCCCTGTATCTTGCATCGTGGCCTGAGATGGACATTCCGTCCTGGGGACGCCCATTTCGGGGATGAAGGATAAGAAGGTTTTTTTGTTTTTGTTTTTTTTTTAAAGGAGGAACTAAGCAAGGACGGAAGTGGGTTTTTGTCCGCCCCTTTAATAGTCCCTAACTGGGTCGAGCACCTATGGGCGCTCATTTTATTAATAACTGGCAAAAACCCGCCTGGCCTGTCTTGTGTGTGTCATCTGCCAATACACGACTTCAGAGTAGACTAAGTATGGAAAAAAAAAAAAAAAGCAATGTGACACTTGTCTCGTGCGTGTTCGTCGTGTTTGTACGCGGGAGGCAGTGACTTCACTTTGCTTCAAGCGGACAAGTGGAGGAGCCCTCGTCCTACATCCCAAAAAAGTTTACACATCGCCGGTTAGTCTGATGACCCACCACGTGGTTGTGTTGGCAGCTAAATGCTGTCTTGGTTGACCCTTGTTAACACTTATTGACAAATGGTACCTCTACTTATGAACGTCTCTTCATACGAAATGTTCAAGTTACGAAACGCCTCAACAGGAAAATATTGCCTCTTGTTACCAAAGAAATTTCAAGATACGAAAGGTCAAAATACAGTATGGCGCAGCTCCGAGTTTCCTGAACGCAACATACTTAGAGCTGCTCTGCCATTGGCTATTATCGAGCATCATCCTGGCATCCCATTGGCAAAGAGGGACCTCTACCCTATGTGTCGATGTTTGTGTCTATGCCGTGTCCTCGTCATTTGCCTCTCGGGCCATGAAGCGTTCCGATAGTTTTACGTAAATGTGAATCCCCAGAAAAAGTGTTCACTGGTCGGGCGATCGCTCACTCTGCTGATGTTCCCCTTGGCCATTTTCGAAGGCTTGTTAAAAGCTGACAAAAGCAAACGTCCTTGGATCAGTTCTTTACAAAATGCCAGGCAAAAATTACTTCTGAGAGTGAACATAAACAAAAGAGGGCAAAAAACAATGAGGATGCAGTTAAAAGTTAAATGATCATCATTTTTATTCTTTATTTTTTTACATTATGCACAACTCTGATTTATTGTGCAATCATCCAATTGTAACATGTATTTGTTACACATTTTGATGTATATTTATGCTTTAGGAAACTATTATGTCTGAATTTTGGGGGTCTTGGAACGGATTAGGGCATTTACATGGAAAACGCGTCTTGACTTACAAAATTTTCTAGTTCTGAAAATTTCTTCCAGAACATATTAATTTCGTAAGTAGGGCTACCACTGTATGCAGATACGGACTGTGCTGTGCACGATCTCCTCCCATTATATTTCTTTGTGATTTTAATATTCACATGGACATTGCCGAGAAGACATTTTCCGGTGAATTATCATACTGTCTCAATAACTCCGGTTGACAGCAACAAATCACGTCCCCCACTCGCCTGAAGGGGCATATCCCGGATCTGGTCTTCTGATCTGGTACCACTGCAAACAACTTCAAGTCAGACTCACTCACTCCTCTTTTCAGATCAGATGCTAAAACTCATAAAACGGGTGACTCGTGTCTCAAGGCGCCACCGTCTTGTGACGTTTTGGTTGAATTCTGATTTACACGACTCCATTTGTTGTACGGGTGCCGTAAAAATGAAAAGGTGCAAAGAAAGAAGACTACCTCTGCAGGTCTTGTCCAAGTACTTCCGATTCATCTTCAGGAAGTATTGTGTAGAGGTCACCTGCTTCCAGTCTTTGCTTGTGTCCGAGATGCAGGAAAGGACTCAGCCAGCTGAAAAATAAACATCATCATCAAAACAGGTTGATTGAAGAGGATTTTTTTTTTTTTGTTTTTTTAATCCATAAGAAACTTGAGTGTTTTCTTTTTCATTTTCGGAAGAGAACAGTGGTCCACCATTCGGCTCCTGGCATGTTTCCAATAACGAGTTCAGTTGTTGTTGACCGGACAACAGTCAGCTGATCCGGGTCGATGTCAATGCGGGCGCACTGATTTGGAGCCTTACTTTTTAATGTTTGAGTGTGGGATTTAACGCTTCCGTGCTTCGGCTGCTATCACGCTGTGAATCGCAACCCGCAGGAGAGACCGGGCGCCAAATTCAGCAAACAGTTACTTGGCATCTCAGCCAGTAATGTGGCATGACCTGTTCTTGAAGCGCCATTCAAGAAAATGACTGCCGTTCTCTCCACATTTGAAATGAAAACGTTGTTGTTTCTGTGTAACGCGGCAACCGATTTGAATAAGTTCCACTGGGTTATGAAATTGTTATTTAACATCCATTGATCCGTTTTCTAAGATGCTTATTCTCATGAGGGCCACGGGGCGTGCTGGAGCCTATCCCAGCTTTTTCTGGGGATTCACATTTACGTCAAACTATCGGAACACCTCATGGCCCGAGAGGCGAATGACGAGGACGCTGCATCGACACCTAACTATCTATTGACACACAGACACCTACGTAGAGGTCGCTCTTAGCCAATGTGATGCCAGGATGATGTTCGGTAATAGCCAATGGCAGCGCAGCTCTAAGTATGTTGCGTTCAGGAAATTCGGAGCTGCGAGAAGCAACCCATACTGTATTTTTACCTTACGTATCTTGAAAATTCTTTCGGAACTAGAGGCAATATTTTCCTGTTGAGGCGTTTCGTAACTTGAAATGTTCGTATGAAGAGACCTTCGTAAGTAGAGGTACCACTGTATTCTATGGAGAGCATTTCCAACTCCAACTGGAACCATCCGGTGCCTTTACAGGTACGGGAGGCCCTCTGTTGACAATGGACTTCTGCTCCTAGCGCAGCAATGTAAACCAAATTTGAACATGCATCGTGGTCTATCTATCACTTACGCACTTCAAACGCTGTAAAGTCATAAGTTTGTGTATTTGTATATAATA